GGGGATGTACAGTGGAACTGGGGATTTGCTTGGCCTGCAAAGCCTTAACTCAAACCCCAGGATGATAGGAGATTGTGGGAGAAAGAAAAGAGAAAAGAAACAAAGAGAGAAAGACAAACGGAACCTAGATTTCCAGGAAGGAAAATAGTAATTATGAGTTTGCCACTTTCTTCGGTGAAGAAAGATGAATGCTTAGGGAAATATGACCCTCCATATCATATTTTCTGATTCTCATTCCCTAAGCTGATGTATGTAGTCCAGCATTTCACATTATATGAACTTATTCCTATCTAATTAAACTGCTTTACAAAACCCTCACTTGATAAGGTGATCCTGTGTTTGTATTAGATAAACATCAGATAATGTTCTTGGCATTTAATCTAAATTGCATTCAAGCTGATTTGTGAGACTAAGTTGGGTCAACCAAATAAACTTGACGTAAAAAATGAAGACGTATATGTATAAGACAGAGAAGATTATCATAAACCCACATACATTTAATTTTTGATGCATGGGCAAGCCCACTAACAAATTAAATTTAGAGAAAAAAAATTAATCTTTTTTTAAAATCTCACTCAAACACACATGTGCACATATAGACTACACACAAACATACATATATATACATATACAAATGCAGTTTACTGTATAATGAAAGAGTTTTTTTTTATATATGAATATATATAGTTATATTCATTGTTTCAGTCTCAGCTACCTTAATCTGGTCAATGGAATTCCATATGATAAAAATTAAACTGAGTCTTTCCAAAATAACTGCAGCAAAATATCTCTTATCACAATACATATTTTTGGGGTGTTTTTAATACAATTCTTACATGTTTTTAATCACTCTGATTTTGCCTGAGACAGCAATGGAACCTAATACGAATGTGTGTGTGTATTCCCTACTTTAGCATATCTCAGTCAGTAAGAACTAATGCCTGAGCAATCTTAAAACCAATGATGGACGGAAGATCTCCATCCAGATATGAGATTAGTTGGAAAAAAATCCACCCTGCTCTAGAAAAACTATGGAAGCAGATCCTGATACAACATCTAGCAAAGACTTCCTCGACACAGTGTAAAACAGGAGGAGGAGCAGAGCTACAGCTTTAGCTAATCTTTTCCTGAGAATCATTCATATCCATTCTGTCTCAGGCTAGATGACTGGAATAAAACAGGTGTGGGAATTTTCAGTCCACACATGCTACAACAGGGACTCAGAAGCTGCACTGGCTCCTGCTAGGGCACATGTGGTAACTAAAGGTTGTGTAAAAGTCTGGAATTAGTCTTCATTTTCGGTTTGTTTGTTTGTTTGTTTGTTTGTTTGTTGAGACAGTCTCCATGTAGACCCAGCTGGCCTGAGACTTTCTGTGTAGACCAGATTGGCGTGGATCTCATAGAGGTTCACCTGTTACTCCCTCCCAAGTTGGGATTAAAGACAGGTAGTGCCAGGCCAGGTGATCCTCTGTTTTTGTATTTTTAAATAGATCTTCTTTACTTCAGGGTCAATTTCCTGCTTGTCTGATTATAGGCAGTTATTCTCACTCAAGTCCAAGTGCATAAAAGTAGGTTAACTCAGTCTTCGTGTCCAAGACTCCCCCAAAGTACCTAAAGGTCTCCAGCCATTGTCTTAAGCCTACAATCACTTTGGAGTCTAGGAAAAGCAGAGCTCAACTGGACAGACCAAATCATAAATACAAAAACTTATATGTGATGACTGAGGTTTTACTTCAGATCAGGAGCTATCATCTTATGCAAACTAACTTGTCCCCTCACAAAATAAGGACTTCTTTGGGACACCTTGCAGGCAGAACCATAGCTGAGATTGTAATGAGCCAGATCATTCTTTGATGAAGACTACTTAATTGTGCATACTTCTTCCCCTTTTCCCCAGTTCTCCTACTGAAACCTAACATTTATAGCAGTGCCCCAAAGATGGATTTGAGCTGTTTGAACCCCTTTACCTCTTCTTTCTTTATAAAAAATATTTTATTTAGCTTTTGTACATTTCACACAACAGTTTTTTTTCAAACATAGATCCCCTCCCCCAACTCTCTGCCCCACTACAGGAGTTCATGCATTCTGCCACACATGTTAAATCCTATTTGGTCAAGCATTTGTACCCAGATGTCCTTGGGTGCAAGTTCATCCACTGAAGTCTAATCAGCCTATCTAGAGACCATAAGGAATGTCTATTCTCCCTTATCCAGCAGTAATCAGTCTTCAAAAGTTCCCAGGCTTGGGATGGGTCACTGCCCATTTCCCTCATTCCACTCTGGGCCCTTGTCTGATTGAGGCAGCATGGGTCTTGTGATAGAAGCCACCACTGCTGAACGTTCACATGAACAAGCTTCCTGTGGTATAAAAGTGTCTGAGTCCCAATATTCATTCTTTCTAATGTAGTACCTCTAATTAAATCACTACTGAGACTGCATTGTCACTCACATCTTTCATGTTTTAATTTTCAAACTTTTGTGCAGTTTGTTTTTCTATTTGGGTGTATGTCATGTGTATACAGGTACCAGTGGAGGCCAGACATGGCATCAGATCTCCTGGAACTGAAGTGACAGGTGGTTGTGAGTTGCCATAGGTGGGTTCTGGGAACTGAATTCCAGTCTTCTGGAAAAGCATATAAACTTTTAATCACTGAGCAATCTCTCCAGACCCATTATGCATATCTTTAATTAACACATTGGTGTAGGTGGCCAAGTTAATCCACTGGGAATTCTGGAGCCTGGTCTTTTGTGTTGGAAATCTAGTAATAATGCTACCCTCTAGAAATGTATTTGTCTAGATGATTTTGTTTATTTGATTCATTCTTCACAGTTCTGCAGCAGTTGGAATTTTCCAAGATTCTCTATAATCAGTATTTTGGTTCTGCTTCATGGATAATTTAGGAAGACAGTACAGTAGAGTGGTTTCTTTCATAGATAAGAAAATTAAAACAGAAACAAGGAAATCCTGCTCTAGATCATGAATTGAGGATGTAATCAGATTGATATAAAGTAATTTAAAGCTGTCCTAGTACTCTGAATATAGTTAGGTATTGTGTTTAATTAAGGACTCTTTAAAGGTTTTCTTCACACATGATGTATAAAGAGAAACTAATTTTACTATAATCTGATTTCCAAATTCTTCTCAAATAATTAATTATCTTTCCCAATATATGTGTGTAAGAAAGTACAATACCTATAGGTGTCTTATTTTGTTTCCTGTCGCTGTGATAAACACCACGACTAAAAGAAACTTGGTGAGCAAAGGGTTTATTTAATTTTAGAGGTTACAATCAATCATCAAGGGATGTCAAGTCAGAAGCTCAAGCAGGAACTGAAGCAGAAACTTGGGGGGATAATACTGCACTGACCTGCTCCTCCACTCAAGTTCAGTTACATTTCTTAATCAGTCTAAGCCCAATTATCTAGGGATGGCTTCACACACACAATGGGCAGGGCTTTCTCATATCAATCAGCAATAAAGAAAATGGCCTATAGCCATGTCCACAGGTCAAACCAGTAGAAGGAATTCCTTAGTTGAGATTCCCTCTTCCCAGATGTATCAGATGACAATCAAGTTTAGCCACCATAATAGGTAAGGCTAGCCTTTCCCTTTATTTGTTTATTCATTTCAGTACCAGTGAATTTATAGCTTAGTATTTCTCAAATACTATAATAGTCCCCACTTACACGTTTGTTTTCCATATTCTTCAGTTAGTACATGGTCAATTATAACATGAAATTATTATGTGAAAACTCCACAAATAATGCGTAAATTTTAAAGTAGTCACCAGTATAAAGATTCTGATTGTCTTCTGCTTTCAGAAGACCCTCAGTTTGCCCAGCATATCCATGCTTTATGCACTACCCACTCATTAGTCACTCAGTAGCTACCTTACTTATTAATTCAACTGCCTGAGATTGTATGTAGAATTTGTGTTCATCTATAATATATAAAGAATATAGAGGCATTATGCAATCATAAATAATACATATTTCAGGGAATGGTAATTCACATATGACTTTTCCATGTTTACGACTGGTCCTGATGTTATGAATACGTGTCTCAGTCAGAGGACAAATACACCAAAATAACAGATTATCATCTTCATTTAGAAGGTTCTGACTATATGAGAGATACCTAACTGATTCACAAGGCAGTGGAAATAAGATTCATTTTAGACTTGAAATCTTCCACATAAAACACAGTGAGAAGACATTTGACAGGGGAAGATTTATGTATCTGATGGCATACATTCTAGGATTCAAATGATCAAAATATGACAGCAATAAATTCAAAGGTAATGTTAAAATTTATCAAATGATAAATTCAAATATAGCAAAGAAACTGTTAGTTCAGCACATACTAAAGTATTAGCTAGACACTTGCTAGTAATTATCTCTTTTGACCTTAAAATTTTTTATGAGAATATAAATACTACTGTTTTATCCTTAATTTGCAGGAGTGACTATGGAGGCTCTTAAAGACTCAGTAACTGCTCAATGAACTGCAGTGAGTTCATTGTTTTATCCCATTTTGTAAGAAGCAATAAAGATCCTGACCTTAAGAATTCTGCTCTTCTGAAATTGACATACTCAAACTTCTTTCTTAAAATTCAAAAAAAAAAGATTATAAACAGCTTATTTTACTTTTTACTGTATAGTTTCAAAATGTTTCTTCATTTTGGAGACAAATCAAGTGACCAGACTATTCAGTGATACAATGAGGTTAGAAGAACTAATTATATATACACCCGCAGATGATTCCGATGATCTGGAGTGTTATGGTGTTATGTATACTTACGAGACTTTTTGGTGGTGACATTGACTGGGGGGCTTGAGGGCCCCGTCCCTGCAGTGTTGTAGGCTCTCACAGATGCAAAGTAGATCGTATTAGCTCTTAGCCCTGTAATATTCTTGGTTGTGACATTCCCACTGACTCTAATTTTTACACCCGCAGATGATTCCGATGATCTGGAGTGTTATGGTGTTATGTATACTTACGAGACTTTTTGGTGGTGACATTGACTGGGGGGCTTGAGGGCCCCGTCCCTGCAGTGTTGTAGGCTCTCACAGATGCAAAGTAGATCGTATTAGCTCTTAGCCCTGTAATATTCTTGGTTGTGACATTCCCACTGACTCTAATTTTACCAATCATAGATTCCTTGGAGTTGTCTGTCCAGTATAAGACCTGAGTATTAAAAACAAAGAAAAATAATTTACTCTTTTCCAAAGAAAAAAATTAGGCGCTGGGCTCATAAATCATAACTAGGAAGATAGGGGTTCAAAATCGATAAAAATGTTTTAAAATTAAAATGCACATAATCCTACAACAAAATAAAAATGTCTAAAATTTTTAGGGAAATATTTCACAAGAAAATGTATTTACCATGAGTACAAGAACCTAGATATTTTTAGGTTACCAAAATAATTAATGAACTATCTAAAGGCTATGAGCTTTTACAAAGAACATATAATAATTCACACTAAAACAAATTCCATACCATTAATCAAACATTTTGGTTTTGATGTTTGCTGTTACCATTTCTTTCAGAGTTTTTGGAGTCACAAGTTAATTAATAACTGCACTCAAGGTGATCACTTGCTGCACAATGGCATTGTTTCAGAGAGCTTGAAACAAGATAATAGAGCATAAAGTCCAGTACTAGTTTTCAGCTCCACAATTTAGCAAAGGAGTAAAAACCCACATATGTCAATAAATTATAGGATGCATTCCAAAGAAGGGAAAGTAGATGGAGAATTCTTCTCTAAGAACTTGAAGAGAAACAACATTAGAGAGTGAAGAATACAGAGATTAGAGACATAACAGGGCTTGCGTATGAGGGGTGCCATTCTAGGCATGGAATGTCAACAATATCTACCATAGGAGTAGAAGGTTTTATTTAAGAGGATCCTTAGGGAAAAAAAGTGCAAGGAAATATCCCCCATATTTCAAATTGAACTGTACTGTGCTTCCAAAAGGCAAATGTCTTTGATGTGACTCATTGGACCTTCAAGTTGAGGAGATGTTTGTGATTAATGACTTTCCCTTTACTCATCCTCACTCCTAACTTTGTGAGAACAAAGGTCTACACGTGTGATTTGCTTTACTCTATGCACTTTAAGTGGAACCATTTTAGGAGAATCTATGCTGTTTTCTATCTAATGACTTAGTTCCCTATACCATGATAATTCAAACTTTTCAGGTCATACTCCAATTGACAGAGCACGTTTCACAGTGATACTCTATGATTTAAGATCAAGGCCCACTTTATTCTGCCTAAGAACACAATGACTGCAGTTTGAATAATCAAGTAGGAACATTACTGATTAAAAATATATTATTGTAGCAAGAACACAATATTAGCTTTATCCTCGCAATAAATTATTATGCATTATTTTTGATAATAGCTACAAAGTTGTATGTCACACATCTTAATTGATATCATGTACCTATTAAAATGTCTATGGAAAAATATCTGTTAATATGTTGGCTTAAGATCACTTGGAAATGATCCCTTCCCATCATCCTTGTCTTTAGCGTTAAACATTACTACAGATTGAATTTAATGCTCCTCCAAAGGCCAGTATATTGAAGGAGTAATCATAAATTAATATATGGGAAATTATAAGAACCTTGGAAGAGGTGGTGTGTTATGGGAAGAAGTTCAGTCATTGAGATTACTATCTTGAAAGAGACAATAGCACTCTACATCTTTGTTTCATGACATGGGATAAGTATCATCTACAGGTGTTTACACTATGAAACACTTTCTTATTACAACCGTAAAGCAATAAGCCAAATAAGATTTGAACATTTGAAACTACAAGCCAAAATGACCCTTTCATCACTTCTTTAAATTGCCTCATCCTGAGTCCCTGTTCAGCATGGAAGAAGCCAGAGCAGTCTGCATCCTGATTCGCTTCAGAGGATGGTGTGATAAGAATAAGAGGTAGGAATTGGCTAGGCAGTTAGGGTAAAAAGACCCCAAAGAAATGTAGCCAGTTTCTGGGCTAAAAGTCAAAATGTCCTTGGGCCTGTTAGCAACATACTCTGTTCCAAGGCCAAAAATGTCAAAAGTATTTGGGAGCTTGTATCTAATCCTTAAAAGATTTTAGGGTTACCGCTTCAGAGGGGGGAATGTTGGAGGGGAGGGAGTGGGCATGGATTTGATCAAAACACCTTATATGCATGTCTGAAATTCTCAGTGAAGTTTCTGTAAACATTAAAAAACACTAGAAAAAAAAAGGTGAAAGCAGAGAACTTGCTCCACAAAGTTGTCCTCTGACCTGCACATGCATGCTGTGGCGTGTGTGCTCCCTCCTACAGCATGCACACACAATAATATATTTTTTTAATTAAAAATTAACGATATTACTCCTACAACATACTGACAAATTATATATAGCAGATCAAGAAATATTTGCTAGGTAAGGTTTATCTGAGAACAATTGGTCTTTGCCCAAGATTTAGCTACATGGCACACAGTAATTAAAAATACCAGACTGGTGGAACTAACCTTGGCTGTTTGGTCAGAGGGATATAAAGGACAGTTTTTGCTCCTTGCCCTCCTAGGTCAACTAGTTCCAGGGGACTATGAGTATCTCTCAAAATGTCCTGTAATTGTGGTCACCACTATGCCATATGTCCTATAATTGTCCTCTTGATCAAGGAGGCCGAGGAGACCCCACCAGATGGACTGGAACCAGTGTCCAGTCTACAAAGAGGAGGCTCAAGACAGAGGAATCATTTCCTCCATGCTTCCAAGCGAAGCCAACCATGGTTGAGCACAACCTTTGACTTATCTTCACATAGGCAGAACTGGTAAAAGAAAGGAGCCAGGGGCTCCTCCCAAGCCCATGTGACCCCTGAGGAACAGATCCTCAAAGGGACTTAAGTGTAAAAATAAATTGGTTTATCTGGTCCAAGTGTATGCCTTAAACACCCAAAAGGAATCTATAACCAAAGATTAAAGGGGCAAATATAATTTCTCAGGAGTCAATATGCATAGCTAAAGGCTGCATAACAAGCAACAATGCCAGATAGGTGATACCTTCTTTTGAGTTGTTGGCCAGGGTAGCCAAAGGGACTCCCAGATAGTAACCCAGCATAGAACTGGGAAAATGAACAGCAAACCCCAATCTTATCTAAAGGAATATTGACAACTGATTGATGCTAGATGAGGAACAGCTGACTGTCCTAAAACAAAGACCTCTAGATAGTCTGACTAGATTCACCAGATGGACAAGTAGTGGGAAATAACTGGGGGTGCTGACAACACAGCAGACAGTAACAGAGATAACAGAGCATAAGGACTCTAGCGGGGGGAGGGAGGCTATGGGAAGGTGCCATCTGGGAAGTGGGTGTATAGTTGAATAGGATGGTTTGGATTGTTCTGTGTGATATACACACAAAAAAAATCAACAAATTTTTTAAAATGTATTATATTTGAGGAGGAAGCATGGAAATATGCACCATGTTAATTGGTAGAAGTGATAAACGTTACCATTTAAATCTACCCGATGACTTTATAGACATACACAGGCACCAAGGATCCAAGTGTAACCGATTATGATTGGTAATAATCAGATACACACAGATTAGAGATGCATGCACCAACATCTCAGTGTTAGTAACAAAACAAAGAGTCTTTCTGCAGGGAACAATATGTTCTAAAATGAAATGGAAATTTTTTTAAAGGTTATAAACTCATTCAATTTTATGTCCTACAGGGCTTGTACTGAGTTCAGTATTGTATAACTGTATTAATTCAACCGTGAGCCTAAAAACTTGCACTTACTTGTGAAAGAGATGTATTCTTGCTCTGGAGTGTGTTACTGAATATGTTAAAGCTGTAGTGAAATGCTTCTTCTAATCATGTAGTTATTAAAATAAAAAAAAATAATGATTAAAATAATAATAATTATTCAAATCATAAAAAGTTGCTCCTTAATAATTAGTAGATGTGAAAAACATTACTATTGAAATCTACCTGATGACTTTATATCTATGCTCAGATGCCAAGAAGCTCAGAAAGTAACCGACTGTGACTGGTAATGATCAGATATACAGAGATTAGAAATGCATGTGCAAACATCTCAATGTCAATTGCATTAAAAATGAATTTTTCTGTATGAAATTGTGTATTTTAATAATGAAATGGAGATCTTTTTTAAAGGTTGAAACCTCATTTAATTTTATGTCTTGTAGGGTTTATGCTGAGTACAGTATTGTATAACTGTACTAACTCAACTGTAAACCTAAAGTTGTAGCCAATTTTGAGAGAGACGCATCCTAGCTCTGGAAATTGTTGTTGAATATGTCAATGCTGTTGTAATGGAATGCTTCTTCTAAATATGTGGTTATTAAATAAATTATTAAAAGGAAAAAAAATTAAAGATTAAATAAGTTCAAAAAATTAAATTTGTATTTATTTGTGAATGTGTGTTTATCTGTGTGAGTACATGTTCACATGTGTAACTATGTACACTTGTGCACGTGGAGGCCAGAAGAAGCATGGATTTCTCAGATCAGGAGTTAAAGGTGTTTGTGAGATGCTTGATTTGTTTGTGACTGCTGGGATCCAAACTCCAGTTCTTGTGATTTTAGTAGAAGAACAGGTTCCTACATCTTTAGGCTTGACCCCATAGCGTGAATCAGGCCACAGCTTCCTGCTACTTTCACTGAGACAGGGAGTTAAGAATCAGCATGTGCTGTCTTGGCAGCTCTCATTTATGGTTCCAGGATCTTCTGTGCTCCTTGTCTTGTATACTATTCTGAACTAAATGATGTTATGTGAAACTTTCTAGCATCCTAAAAGGTTATAAAACGTCAGAACTTGCTTTTGTTCTGGGGATTGGTCCAAGACTCCTGAAGGGGATTTGGTCTGGAGATGAATGCCGCTATATGAAGAGGCTCTTTTCCTTCTCTCACCTCATTCTTCTCCTATTTCTTTCTCTCTCTCCCTCTCTCTCTCTCTCTCTCTCTCTCTCGCGTGCTCTTCTCTCTCTCTCTCTAATTCTTACTCTTAAGACTAAAGCTCTTCACTAGGTTTTCTCTAGGCTTTAAACAGAAACCCGTTCTACCTTTTAAGGCCTTATCATATTTAGATACCTCCATATATGGTCTATTTTGTGTTGTTTATGTCTAATGACCTCTCCTTCACACGGAGGCCCCATCACAGTCTTGAGGCCCTCTTCTTATAATAAACCTCACTCCTTAAGAGAATGTATGTGTCAGCTTTCTTTTTTAACTGACTACTGTGATTTTTACTTCTTTGGAAAATTTTGATCATTGAGCATCTTTCTAGCATGCCCCATCCCCCATATTCTTCTTTCTAAATGGATTATCTCAAGTGTTCTGAAATAATGGTGTAAAGCAGGGTAACACAGATGTATACCAATACATGATAAGAAGTAGGTTGGTTTAACAGAACTATTGTACAACAGCCATTGTCTGGTGAGCTGCTGCATTTATGGAGAGCAATGTCAATGTGGATTACCTCATAGCCCAGTACTCTTCCAGTATTTCTATTCCAAGCAATAGCATTCCAGGAGACCTCCATTTCAGAAGCAGAAAAACTCTGGACAGAAGTTCCTCTTGGGGCCAGCCGAGGTTCTAACATTCAGTAAAAGACATAGATATCGTCAACAGAATGGTTCAAGGAAAACAAAACAACAAACTGTGCCTAAAGATACAAGGAGGAACATCCTGAGCTGAAGACAGCTTACCATCTTCCCCAGAGTAGACAATGGACACTGTACTCAGGGATCCCTCGCCTTCATTATTATATACTCCCACTTTGACTTCAAATGGAGACAGGGGCATGATGCTTTCATTTCTATAAATGAACCTGGATGACTCCACAAGTGCTACTCTTTCCTTAGTCCAGGTTTTAGAGCCAACTGGCCGGAACATGATGATGTATCCAAATCCTTCTCCATTCTGTAGTTCTTCTGGAATGGACTTAGGCAGAACACAATAAACCACTGAGTATGGGTAAAAGGTATGTTTTGAATTATACTATTTATTATTTGACATTTCTTCTATAGAGGCAATTAAAATGTTTAGTGAAGAATTGAAATAATAATTTTATTTAGAATATTTATTAAGAAAATAATTCTAGTGAAAGAAACTCAGATGGAAAGTCCAAGTTTTCAGAAAGAAATATAAAGCAAGTATCACATTAAGCCTATCACTTTCCTTGATACTTCATGAACTGCAACAATAAAATACAAAGAAGACTGTAAGATTCTATAAGCTAAAATGTACTTTTATTTGAATTTTAAATCTCAGTGCCAAAGTTACTTTTTAACTATTTATTGTATGCTAGATACACATAATTATCAATACTTTCAAGAATTATTCTAAAAAATAAAAATGAAAAAACCTAATCGCTTTAAAGGTGAAAAGAAAAACAAAAATAAAAAAATAATTATTTGAGATGAGTGTGATATAGTCACCCTTCAATATCATATACTCAAAGAAATAGAATATTTTGCTCAAATGCATAAATAAACTCAGCATACATTTTTCACTCACAGCATCAATGTATAGTTTTTTCCCAAGACAAAAAGAAAGCAAATTGTTAATAACCACAGACATCTATTTCTATAAAGCACAATTAAAACCTCAAATTATTAATTAAAAATAGAGTAGATACACATGCTCCGAGAGCTGTTTGTTTATAAGAACTCTTTGGTTATGAGAACTTATAATAAGATAAAATAAGCAAGTGAAGATGAATTTGTGTCTCAGTCTTGACGAACAGTCACCAGATTACAAACTTTTATTTACAAATCAATGGAATTCTTTTGTTTTTCCAAATGGAAATACTTTTGTTATGTTTTTTTAAATATTAGACAAAGATGTAACTGAGCCAGAACAAGGTTCATATTCTTGAGGCTCATAGAAGCACTTTCAGTATCATCACCTTATCTTGCCACTTACACCCACATCTGATTATCCAGTTACACCATCCAGAACCAAAGGCACTATATGCATCAGTAAACATGAGGAGTTGTGGAGCACAAATTTTACACTCTATAACAACTAACCGGTGCAATCTAGTCTTCCTGTGGGTTTTGCTTTAGAAGCCTGGTGTCTGGAGTACAATAACAGGTAAACCAAGAGTAGATAGACAATAATTAAAAATTGGGGAAGGAGAATAAGGCTTAAAAAAAGTCTCTGGAGCCGAGGATATTGGATCAGTGGGTAAAGGCACTTGTCACCAGGCTTCTTGAACTGTGCTCATCCTGGCACCCATATAGTTGAAGAAGAGAACAGACTCTTCTAAGTTTTTTGTTCTCTCTATAATAAGTAAGTAAATAAATAAATAAATACAATTAAATTTTTAAGGATGTAATTTAGGTAGACAGAAGATAGAATTGTCTCGTGGTCAGGTAAAAACTGGAAGCAAACAAATATGTGTATATATTTGCTTTCCAGTTTTGTACCAGAACATATATATTATATCTATATATACACAGTTATTTTTTAATGATATAATTTGGGTAGAGAGGTGATAGAATGATCTAATGGCCAGGTACAAAACTGGAAGCAAAGGAGATGGAAAGAACTGGGAACATGCACAAGGGACTACGGAAGCAGGGGCTGGATTATATAATAACTGAGAGGCACTTAGAAGTCCTGTGCTCCAACAATACAGGGCCATATTCCCCTCTCTCATCTGTCCTGTCAGCTCTATTGCAGACACTTTTTCATGTCCTCATTACTTTCCATGTATTTCTAAAATAAATTCCCATTAAGCAAGATGACTAGAGCTTTTCTATATTTCCTGGCACATGGAACAGCCTAACAAATAGAAAGAAAAGGTAAGGGAATTTAGGAAAGAGTGTTTCCTTTATTTGGGTTTTTCCTTTTACATGGAAACAAGACTTAAAACAGTTAATATGAAGTTATTTTGTAAGGTATTTATAAGAATTTAGGAACTAGTATTTGATTTATTTTGAAAGCTTCATTAATCTCATATGCAATCACAATTTTCATTTCAGCAGGTCGAGGACTTTTGCATTTGTTAGTGAAGTTCAATTATTGTTTATCATGGTGTTCCTCTAAAAAGGTGTGAACCCAAGATGCTCAGGTTAGGGTGAAACAGGAGACATTTATTTAGGTTCTTCCTGTCATCTTTCTTATAGTAATCAAGAGCTAAATGATGAAGAAATTGACATAGCTGTTTAAGAAGGCTAGAAAGAAGCTTGGTGAGATGGCCTGGAGCCTTTAATACCACCACTTAGGAGGCAGAGGCAAAGGCAGACAAATTGCTGTGAAACAGGGGCCAGCCTGGTCTACATAGTGAGTTCCAGGTCATCTGTGGTTAAAGTCTACTGCACTGAGTGTCTGGCTGTCATTTATAACCTTGAGGAAACAACATCTGTTCTCTAGTTTCCTCTCTCTCTCTCTCTCTCTCTCTCTCTCTCTCTCCCTCTCTCTCTCTCTCCCTCTCTCTCTCTGCCTCCCTCTCTAACTCTACTTCTCAGAATACTGTAATTTCTCAACATTAGCATTTATGTATTATGGGATGCTTAGCAGAAATCTTGTCTGACCACCCCCCCCCACACTATATATACACACACATACCACGTTAACAACCAAGTATGGTGTTTATAAAATCTCACTAATTGAAAAATATTGACTGGAGATAAATTGATTTTTATTCCCCAAAGGAATCAATTTTATGCATGTCTTTAATGGTAATATATTATTGCAGTGTTTAGCATCATCCTGTTGTTAGGATAATACTAAAATGTGTAGGGAGGTAGTTGTAAAGTCTAGTTTTCCACCAAAGGGAACTAAAGGGCTATTTCTTCCCACTGTCCAACTTGGTGAGAAAAGGCTCTGTATTTTCTGGAATATAGGAAATGTACGTATTTCCAGTTGTCTAATGCCTACGAGATTTCTAAATAGGAATGAGAGTTGCACGGCCATTGATGACACATTAAAAGAGAGAGGCTAAGAGGACACGAACCAACCTTCCACCAGAGGACCAAGTATGGTGCTTGTATGCTGAGATCAAATGTGCAGCTCTCAATAGGGGATCTCCCATGAGCAGCTTTGAAAGAGACTTTGTTCTCAAAGACCATTGAGAAAAAAGGGAGTCTGTCCACGAAACAACAAAATCCAGAAGTGTTTGAGACCCTTGAATACCCACTGGAAACTATACTTGGACTTGCAACTGGAATTTTCCTGTGAGAACAGGATCCAAACATGCAATCAGGGTAACAAAAAACTCAAAATAAACAAAATGGCATATATCACACCACTTTATAAACCACCTGCATTTACGGTGCTTGATATACACCAAGCCTAAATTATTAATGTTTCAGAAACCAATATCTTTCTACTTTAACTTTTTTTCCAAGCCTCTAGAATTCAGGGGAGTCAAAATACAACACAATCAAAGAAGAAGGAGAAATTAAGGTAGAAATTGCAGGACAATTGAGGATGTGACTTTTCATTTCCCTATATACCATAGAACTCAAGGCTAAGGCAGAATGGAACTAGAAATGATGAACTATACATTAGCTGAAATGCTAATGCAGGTAGGTCCAATCTTCTACCTGCTGGCTGCATGTGACTGAATGTATCTATGAATGATGAATAGCACAAGGTTGTTAACTTACTTAAAGAGATTATATGTGTTTTATTTTTTGCAATTTTAAAAATGGTACTGCAATTTTTGCATGGTTATGGAATGCCGCTTCATAGGTGACAATATCATGTATCCATGTCAAAAGGTTGTTCAGGTCTGCTCTAAAATTGGTAACAAATAAGGATGGAATTTTCAATGAGTAAAATGAAACTGAGCCTATATGCTAATATGAAACAGGATGACCAGAAAAGCTGTCTGATGTCCCTAAGTTTTCATATAGACACAGGGAAAGAAAAAGCTTACATTGCAGAGTGATGTAAGGGCAATAATCCATATTTTTTGCCTGTATTTTACTAAGTTCACCTTATCCACAGTAAAAGAGTTCAAAAGCTAATAAATAAAACAGTGCTTAATTCACCCAGTCTTAATGAAAATACTACTGACCACTGTTCAATAGATACCGAAGTTGTTTTTCTTATATGTGGGAGAAAATTGTGCTGACTTAGTCACGGTCTCTTAACTTTAAGAGAAATAAGAAGTTTCAAATACCACCCCTAAATAATTCATCTTCAAGATAATATGTTTTTTATGCCTTTAAAAAAATATGTCCTCTGAAGTGATCAAATAAGTCTTTTAGTTTTTCAGTATTCTTTCTGGCCAGCTACATCTTTCTCCTTCAAAATAACTCAGTTGGACAGAAATTTACCTCCCACGTAATGACGAGTTCAGATCGACTTCCTCCGCCTCCATTGATATTTACTGGTGCCACGATTGGGACTGAAAACCAAGAGAAATATGGATGGCAAGGATGAAAGGTACATCTTAATCAAGAATTCTTTTGGGGGGGGCAGGGGAGGCTTCACCTTTAAAGACCTCACTAGGCAAACTGAGAGTCTTGCGTTTTTAATGAACATAAATTATGTTTACACATATCCAAATTTCGAAGAGAAAGGACACAGTTTTGTTTGATACGCGGGCACCTTGGCTCCAAGATTAATTAAAAATCGAGTAACATCGTGTGTTTGACATTATTATGCATCATCTACTAATTGGCAAAACGATGTTGCATTCAGATGGTAACAGTGACACCACTGATTTAGTGCCTAATTATACAGTTGTGCTGTAAACAAGTTACTCAGGCAGTATATTAATTAATTATTTTTGTCAATAAACAAGCTGGATTTTTTCCTTTATTATCCATCAGAATATTTTCACATTTAAACATATATTCCTGAATTATTTCATAACTCTGTACTTGAATTTTGAATCTCTCTGGAGAGAATAAGAAGGATTTTTAAAAACTCTTCCCTTGTAAAGTGAGAGTTATTTTGTATAAAGAATGCAGGTGTGGGAGATGACCTCCATTTATTCTTTGGATCTAAGGCCTTCTGAAAGAATCTCAGACACTGCTAATTTTGATGAAGCAGAAAAAAAATATGGTATTCAACTCTAAGTTGAGAGGACGATTGTGTTGAATATAGCTCAAGGTAAATTGTAAACTTGACAATCTCTAGTGCATTATGTAGTATATAGTCAGAATAAGGCTTTTATCACACATACAGAAGGATGAAATATTATTTCTCTTGACATAGAGTAAATGTATCCTAAATCTGTAATAATGGGCAAATATTCATCAATATAGTTTCAAAGTGTTGATGTATATCAAGATATCCATATGGCAACATTTATAGCCCCAGATGGCCTGAAACTCGATTTGTAGACCAGGATGGCCTTGAGCTCACAGGGATCCTCCTGCCTCTGCCTCCTGAGTGCTGGGATTATAGGCATGCACCACCATGCAATGGAACCTGTCCAGCACATATTTTCATATTCCAATTTGTGCTTAATTTTGTGAACTTATGATTTTTCAAAAAGACCACATGAACATACAACCTGGAGTTACAGGAAATTTTGAGCCTCCCAAAGTAGGTAATGAGAACCCAACCAGGGTTCTCTGGAGGTCCAGGAAGTACTCTTAATCACGTGACTGTGGGGAGGAAGTGAGTGGGATATATATGGCTTGGTCCCATACAAATGTGAAAAACATATGCAGTAGCTTACTGATTTTTATTTTGATCTCAAAATACTTCAAGATCCACAAAAAAAATTTTTTTTTTCAAGAACTATACCAGAAACAATCACCCATGTTTGTAGTAAACATTCCTTACCTGATGATTTAGTTCTTAATAATTCTGATGGCTTACTTGGCTCTCCAATTCCAATGTTGTTCCCAGCAACAACACGAAATTCATATTCTACCCAAGGACTCAAACCCACTACTGTTGCATTGTATGTCTGGCCATTGAGAATTTCAGGAACTAAAAAATTAAAAATAAAAACATCAAGACACTTAAGATAATAAATTGATACTAGTCAGAACACATAGTTTCAGAAAGTATATAATTAAATTTAAAAGCTACAAAAGTATATTTATTAAAGTTATCCAAATAAAATCATATTATTATTTGAAAACTCTCCCCAGATATTTAATACTTACTTACCAGTTGCAACAGCTTGCCAGCCCACAGAAAAAGGTGTCCGAGTCTGAATACTAAATATTTGAATGGGACTATTATTATCTGGGCCAGGTCTCCAGCTCAGTTGGGAGGTGGTACTAGAGATGTGATCTACTCTAACATCCTCTGGAGGACCAGGAGGACCTGAAGAAAGACAGTTTATGATGACTGAGTGAGAAATTTTAAATTCATCAATGGAGGGCAAGAATAACCATACTTTTTTTTACCCGTTATGTTTAGGAGAAAAATAAGCTTCCTACATTGCATTTCTAGAACACTATTATGAGATTAAGCCCTAGTAATTCATCTTGCTCAGTAACACTTAAGTTAGAAATGCCAACTTTGAAGAGTTAGAGACTGTCTATCATGGGTTCATTGAATACCATGCAACAGGGAGCTGATCTCAAAAACTGACACTTTTATCTTGGATTCAATTTCAAAATATAGCTTAAATAAATATAACTAATTTGAAAAAGTGCGGAATCCTATGGATTTCACCCTGATCTGACAATAATGGTTTATTATTAATAGAAGTCCAGTTTAAATTTTAGTACTTGATACTATTCTCAAAGTCTGGTCATTTATTACATGCAATGAAAGCTTCACAATTCAATGTACATGTCCATAGAACCCATAATACAGTCCCTTAGAATTTATGATGTACAAATGATATATGATTTTTCTCTCATCCTTTTATCATGATTTGACTCCTTAAACAGCTGTCCTTTTATATATGAACATGTTTGGTGGTGAATGAAATTGGAATCACTTATTCATCACTCGTGCTTACCTCTTACAATGACATCAGCTACAGCAGACAAATTTTCTAGTGTTGTTTGTACTGTGCATAGATATTTTCCTGAATGACTTAATTGAATATTCCTTATCATCAAATCCCCAACAGATTCCTATAGATAGAAACAGGGAATTGGATAAAAGTATAATCACACACAGCAGGTCCCTTTTTCTTTAAAGCTGGATAAACACTAAATATTAGACAGCTTCGAAATTAGAAGATATACCAGGATTATTACAGTTTCCTATAATTGATCCTTTTTATCATCCTTTTACTATAATTGCATCTAGAAACAAGTATTTCTATGAAAGACATAACATAAAACAAAATAAAAACAGATGCAGATTTATAAACAGACAGTGATTATCCATACAAATAAAGATGAGGAGAATAATTATGAAAGATGGTGATTCAAGTAAACACTTATTTATATTATTAAGAACTTAACAATTTCAGATACTTACCCCCCCAATTCTTTCAAAATGAGGCCCTCCTTTCTTTAAATCTATGGCATCTCCATTGAAGTACCATACAAATACAACTTCCATGGAAGGGTCATGAGACACTTGGCAGGGTAGGACAATGCTTTCACCAACTGTGACATCCATTTTAGAAGGTGGTATTGTAATGACAGTTCTGTCTATTGAGAAAATATTATTTTTTAAAAAGCTTAGGAAATGCCAGCATATGGGTATAAAATACACATTTTGTATGATATACAATCATTTGAAGCAATCTGGATTACTACTACATTCTGTACAAAAAATCTTGTTTGTAATATTTTTAATTATTATCAGTATAACTTGTTACCTAAAATTATAAACAAAGCCACCAATGGGTCATCTATATCAACATCACTACCCCCAAAGTTCAATGATCATTTCAGAAGAGGGGGTGGAAAGATTGTAAGAGCCAGAGTTTGGGGAGGACTGAAGCAAAACATTGTCTTCTGGTCATGACAGGACCACTGTGCTCAAGAAATCACAGCACCTGTGGTTGCTTGCACAAGACCTTCACAAGATCAAGCCAGTCAACACACAAACATGAGGCAGGGAGGGTTTCATGAGACCCCATCCCTAACTGAGAAGCTATTGACAGTTGATGGCTTCAGGGTAGGAACACCAGGTATAAGGGTATGATCTCTAGTAGGTTGATTACACTCCAGTAGACTTGAGATATTATTATTAAAAGCAAAATCAGCCAGGCATGGTAGCACATGCCTTTAATCCCAGCATTCTGGAGGCAGAGGCAGGCAAATTTTTGTGAGTTCAAGTCCAGCCTTATCTACATAGGGAGTGCCGGCCAGCTGGGGCTACAGGGCGACCCTGTCTCAAAAAGACCAAAAGAGAAGCTGGAGAGATGGTTCAGCAGTTAAGAACACTGACTGTTCTTTCAGAAGACCCAGGTTCGAGTCCCAGCACCCACATGGCAGCTAACAACTGTCAGTAACTCCAGTTCCAGGCGATCTGACAGTCTCTTCTGTCCTCCACAGACATTGCACGACACGGGTGCACTTACCTACATGCAGACAATTACATGCATGCATATAAAATAAAAATAATAAAATATTTTTTAAAAAAGACCAACAGAAAAAATGTTGGTCAGACATGATGTTGGGGGAGACTAGGTAGGTGGCAGAGGACCTTGGAGGATTTAGGGGGAGGAGTTGTGTGTCAATACTCTCAAAATACATAAGGCATATGAAATTCTCAAAGAATTAATAGAATTATTAAAATTTTAGACATTTTATTCATAATTTTTATGCAAACAGGTTAAAGAAAAAGATGTGCCTCAAAGGACAGCATTACATAACTATAATAAGCTATGATATTTTTGTATTTTACTCTGAATATTCAGCCATAATATATAATTGAAACAATGCTTACCACTCTAAAAAAAAGTTCTGTTAGCTTAAGACAAACTGTGTCCATAAGATTATAGCCACCACATTTTTATAGTTTCATAATATCATGCTTATGTTTAAATGAATGGATACAGCATATTTGATTTCTGAAAAGCTTTACATTTTCTTATTTAGTTTTAATTTTAATTGTATGAGTGTTTTTTCTGCATATATGTAAGTAGAGCCATGCATGCAGTTTCTCAGATGCCAGTGGAGGGCTTTAAAAACCTTGAAACCAGAGGTACAGACTCTTTAAGCCAGCACATAGGTTCTGGGATTTGAACCCAGATTCTCTGCAAGAGCAGCCAGTGCTCTTAACAGCTGAGCCATCTCTCCAATCCCTATGGATTAATTTTCACAATCATTTTCTTTTTTAACTAAGGTTTTAAGATGCATAGGAAAGACAAATTTTCCCTTTTAAAATCCACACTCTTTAATGTTAGAATTATGCAGCCATGACAGAAATCTCCTTTTTGGAAACATTGCTCTGGATGTCAACCCTTGATTCACAAGTCCTGACATTTCACTGACCATTTCAAAGAACATTTCCAAGAGAGTTCTGGGTTTACTTCAGCCCTGTATCTGATTAACAGAGACTTAAATAAACCAACAGCATTTTAGTTATTTATAGTAACATAAGAAGCTCCAATTCTAGAACATTAAGAATCTATCAAAAAGGCAACTCATCATTGCCAAATGAGCTCTGGATATATGTTTAGATATATATTTAGATAGTCTTCTTTTGAAGTTGAGAGATTCTCAGTGGTTTGCAATGCAGCACCCAAATACCAAGCTGGGCATCATACGAATGGCTGTAACTCCAGTTCCCCCCAAATTACACATTCTCTACTGGCTTCCACATGCATGCAAAGTTGTGGGTACTTGCTCAGGCATAAGAAGATGCATATACACATAATGTAGATAAATAAATCTTTAAAAAAATAAAAAACTATTGTAAAAAGATACCCCCTTTTTATCAAAACTAAAATATGCTTGAAGGGATTAAAGAATGAAAGTTTAATGCAAATTATCATGAAAAATTGTATTAAGAAGTTTCAAAATAGTGATTCTCACAGGAAATATACAATAAGGTTTAGTCCTCTAAAAAACGGATTGATAGCTTCAATCTCTTCTGGCTTCGTTGCTCTGGTCAAGACACCAAACCGCACATTGAAACTGTATTTATATGATCAGAAAATAAGTGTCCTATGACTTGAGTGTCTCCAACAAAACTCATGTGGACATTTATCCCATCATAAAGTGAGGAGTGGAATTGGATAGAATATTTATGAAGTGATCATAATATTTAGGAAGTAAAGTCTCAGATTTCATGAATAGATTAATACATTGTAAGAGTATTGCACTACTGGGATATTTTCAGTGTATGCTTGTTATAAACATCATCACTGACTCTTATAAATCCCTTTTGTTATTCAGTGCCTTGGGCGTTCTCTGTACTCTGTATTGGCCCCACCAGGAAAAAGGTCCTCATCCCATCTCATCACACGTATCCCCTGAAACTTAGACCTATAATCCTCAAAAATTTTAAGAAATGAATTTCTTTATGAATTATCCAGTTGCAGTTACTCACAACAACAGCACATAAATTGAAACAATGTGTGACTCAGTTTTACCTACAAAATTTTAAACACATTTCAATTTTTTTATTCTTTTTGAGACAGGGTCTTCCTGCAGTTATATCTGGCCTGGAACTTGGTATAGAGACTAGGCTGGACTTGACCTCACAGAGATGCTTCTGCCTCTACTTCTGGAGTGCTGGTATTAAAGGTGTGCACCACCACACTGGCCTTCAATGTATTTTATTAAAAAAATTAGCAAAGGCTTAGAGGTGAAGTATAGGAAGTAATACTCTTATTTTGAATATACTTTGAGATGAAATAGCTATGGAAAAATGAAAACCTGCATTATATTTTAATACAACAAAGTTTAACTCAGTAATTATCAGATATTTCTTCATGTTCTTATTTGTTAATAATGGAACAATGGCTTAAATTGTATTACATAAATGCTCTTAAAATTCTAATCAGAGAGAAATCTAAAGAGGGGATTTGTGGACTCTTTTAATTCCCAATTCCAAGCCTTCTTTAACTAATTCTTCCTAAATTAGACAATGTGATATCTAAGATTTTAAACAAAACTTTTAGAGGGAAGGAAATATTTTCTTCTAGCAGATTCTTTGAAAAAAACCCTAATATCTTATTTATATTTTTAGGCAGATGAATTGGCTAATTAGATGTGTTGGTACAGTCAAACTGTCCTGATGTAAAGTTTTAGA